GCGTTTGAACCGCCAGCCTTCTGGTTAGCAGTCAAGTGCCTTAGGCACTAATGTCAGTCTGTGGTACTTTCAGTATTCTTCGCCAACATAACTCAAAAGCATTAACTCTTCTGCAGTTTTCCTTATTCATTGTCCAGCTTTCACATGCATATGAGATGATTGAAGGTACCATGGCTTGGGTTAGGCACACTTTAGTCTTCAAAGTGACACCTTTGCTCTTCAACACTTTAAAGAAGTCTTTAGCAGCAGATTTTCCCAGTGCAATACGTTATCTGATTTCTTGACTGCTGCTTCCATTGGTGTTGATTATGGAACCATGTAATGTGAAATCTTTGACAATTTCAATCTTTTCTCTGTTTATTGTGATGCTGCTTACTGGTCCAGTTGTGAGGACTTTTGTTTTCTTTATTTTGAGGTGTAATCCATCCTGCAGACTGTAGTCTTTAATCTTCATCAGAAAGTGCTTCAAGTCATCTTCACTTTCAGCAAGCAAAGTTGTGTCATCTGCATATCGCAGGTTATTAATGAGTCTTCCTCCAATCCTGATGCTGTGTTCTTCTTCATATAGTCCAGCTTCTTGGATTATTTGCTCAGCATGCAGATTGAACAAGTATGGTGAAAGGATACAACTCTGATGTACTCCTTTTCTGATTTTAAACCTTGCAGTATCTCCTTGCTGTGTTCTGACAGCCTCCTTGTCTATGTACAGGTTTCTCATAAGCACGATTGGGTGTTCCAGAAGTCCAATTCTTCTCAATGTTATCCATAATTTGTTATGATCCACACAGTCGATTGCTTTTGCATAGTCAATAAAACACAAATAAACATCTTTCTAGTATTCTTTGCTTTCAGCCAAAATCCATCTGACATCAACAATGATATCCCTTGTTCCATGTTCTCTTCAGAAGAGCCTCTTGAAACTCATAAAATCTTATTTTCAAACTGGAAAGAGCCATAGCAATTATTTTCTTATCCAAGTGCTCCACTTACCATTAACTATTCTTCCTTTGTACATTCACACTAATTTATGGTTTGAATCGTGGAGCAAGTACAATCAAAGTGTTTAAAAAAAAAAAAAAAGTCCTTGTCATTTCACCCCTTTGGTTTATTGCTGTTCTCTCCTTTTTCAACTCTCCATTGAAGTAGTGCATTTGTCAGTATATAAATTTGGCTGTATGTATCAGAGACCCAAGAGGTAGTGGTTTAAGCAAGATAAATGTTTATTTCTCTCACAAGTAAAAGTCTGAGCTGGTATGATGGCTTTGTTCTGTGAAGTCATCAGACAACCAGACTCCTTCCATCTTGTGCTAGTCTCCCTACAGTGCTGTCATTGCGTCTGTGACCCAAGATGGCAAACCATCATTTCCACATTTTAGCTCACAGGAAGTGAGAAGGCTGAGAAAGGGAGGACATACCCCTTCCCTTTAAAAGCACAACTTGGAAGTTGATTTGCCCACATCCCACTGACCAGTCTCATGGCCACACCTAGCTACAAGGGAGGTGAGAAAACATAATCTTTATTCTGGGCAGCCTGGTCCTTGCTATGAAAGAAAGAACAACAGATACTGGAGGATAGCCAGCAGTCGCTGCAGGGAAGAAATGAAAAACCTAACTTTTTCCTTACTTTTTGTTTTTCAGGTAAAAAATGATCCCTGAGTAAAAGCAAATGCAGGAAGATTTTAACTCTCCAGGATAAGGATCTGTACCAACATGTCTGCTTACTACAGGAATAATGGGTATGAAGAAGATCCAGATTACCCTGACTATTCAGGGTCTCGAAACCATACACAGGCGAATTTGAAAACTCAAGATTATCCAGATTATCCAGGTCCCCTGAACAATGCAGACTATCCCAGCACCAGGAACAACCCATTCTCTGCAAGCTCCAAAACAAACTTAGACTATCTGGGGTCTCTGGCAGAGCCAGATTATCCTGGATCTCACAGTAATCAAAACAGTCCCAACACCAGGAGAAATCAACATTCTGAAGACTCCAGAACAAGTCAAGACTATCCCAGATCTCTGGCAGAGCCAGATTATCTTGGATCTCAGAGTAATCCAAACTATACCAGTACCAGGAGAAATCCATATGCTGAAGTCTCCAGAACCAATCCAGACTATCCTAGAGCTTTGGCAGAGCCAAATTATATCGAATCTTTGAGCAGTCCATACCATCCAAGCTCATCCAGAGAGCCAGACTACCCTAGATCTCAACAAAATCGTGATCTTACAAGTTCTGGAATCAGTAGAAGCTATGCAGCCTTCAGAACAAATCCAGATTATTTTGGATCATCGGAAGGACCCGACTACTCTGGAGCTCAGATGACATCTAACTATCCTGGCTCCAGAGCCAATTCCAACTATCAAGTTTCCAGAAAGAATCCAGAATATGCTAGCTCCAGAATCAGTCCATATATGTACTCCCTAGAAGAGCCTGATTATCCAGGTGCTGAGAATCAACCTAACTCTCCAAGCACTTTTGGGAAACCAGACTATCCTGTTTCTGAGGATTATCAGAAGTCTCTAAACTTTTGGGAGGAGCCTGATTACCCAGGTGCTGAGGACAGTCATGATTCTGCCTCTTCTGAGGGCCCAGAAATGACCAGGGGGTAAGTGCAAGCATCTCCCTCCAATGGGACTTGGTTGGTTTGGGTTGGGGTATGATAGAGATTGTATGATGGTTTCCATGTTCTGAAATTGTGATGAAGCATTCATATATATCTGTAAACCTCACTTGGGCCATGGACCCTCAGTCTGAGGCCTCAAATTTGCCTCAATTTAATCTTTCATCACCTCTTGTTTGGATAACTTCCTTACCAGTCTCCCAAATCAAATTAAAACCAAACCAGTTGCCACTGAGTTGAGTCTAACTAATGGTGACCCATTGTGTGTCAGAATAGAACTGTGCTCCATAGGGTTTTCACTGGTTGATTTTTTGGAAGTAGATTGACAGATTTTTCTTCTGAGATGCCTCTGGGTGAATTCCAAATACCAACCTTTCAGTGAGTAGCTGATCACTTACCCATTTGTACCACACAAGGACTTCTACCGTCTCCCATCTCTTCCTAATCCAAGCCATGTAAGACATTTAGATCCCAACTGGTTAACCCTACTGCTTTGACAGTGAGGTTAGAATTAAGACTTGGTAGTTATGAATCCAAACATATTAGCAAGAATTAAATCAATGTTAGTGAAGAAAATCAAGAAAATATTTCCAAGATTAACTTCATGAGGCCTATTTAATTTCTCAATTAGTGTTTTTAAGCAAAGTCGTTAAGCCACTCCTAATTCCTTCCTCTTCCACTTTCACTAAAATTGTCATTAGAATCAATTATTTTTCATGTAAACTGTACAGTTGATTTGGTTCATTAATCTTCTGCACTGATTTTTCATCATGTTTTATTGATTAGAGTTTTCACCATTGTTAGTCTTTCTTTTATGAAGTCCAATTTTTCCTGGTTCAGATTTTGTACATCTAAATTCTGTTAAGAGAATTTTATTCGTATTTATTTATTTATTTACTGTGCTTTAGGTGCAAGTTTACATTCAACATTACATGTGCATTTAGTTTCACTCCCCATTAACCATTCCAGCTCTAACCCAGTTTCCTCCCCTCCCTGCCCAGTGTTCCCACCCCACCCCCATGACCCTCATAGTTATGCACTCCTGTGTGTCCTGCATTTCTTCCATGTGAATATTGCCCCTCTGGTGCCCCATGGTCTATTGAGCCAAGGGATGCATTTCCATAGAGCATATGGGTGCATCACCCTGGGTTGAGTGGTCTGCATGTACATCTTGCTTACTATCAGGCTGAGAGCCATCCCCTGAGAGTGAATTTTATTCCAGGCCCAAAATGTATCCCAGGACCATAGTATTGTGGATCTCACCAGACTCCATCTGGCCAGTAATTCTGGTTATTACTAAGTTTTTTGATTTTGTTTCACATTTTTTCTCCCACTCTATACAGGATCTCCAGATTTGATACTTTCCTGAGTGGTTGGCATTGGTAGCTGGGCACCATCTAGTTCTTCTGGTCTCAAGGGCCATTGTATCCTAGGGCTGATTGCTTCCAAATTCTCCTGCCCCTTTTTTTTTTTTTTTTCACTCCTTTTTGTTTCTGATGACAGGAGACCATTAGCTGCATCTTAGATGGCTGTTGAAAGCTTTTAAGACCTCAGTCGCTACTCACCAATGTAGGATGAGGAACAAGACTTTTATGTATTTTGTTGTGTCAGTTGAGTCTGGTGTCCCCCAGTACTGTGGTCCTGAGTCAGTAGATCCATTGGATCTCTCTCCTACAATGTCTGGGTGTCTGTGCAGGATTAATCTATGTCTATCTTCTGTTGTTTCTGTAAAGATTGCAGGTATTTTGTATCACTGGTATCTGTGCAAGATTAGCCTCCGCTGAATGTATCTATCCTGTTCACTCACCCCCATCTGATCTTATCAGATGTTTAAGTGTTTATCTGTAGTCTGGTGTTTGGTGTTAATACTAATGCAGTACTGTGGATATACTGGTTGGTATTAGCATCTGTCATCTATCTCTTATGTGCACAATTCGGTGTCCTCCCTTTTCCTAATGTTATCATGGTGGTCACAGACTCTTTCTATACATCCCTCCCTTTACCCACATCAGTGTGTGGACCCTAACTAGCCCTAAATTAATCCCTCTCCTTCCCTCCCCACCCTGGTAACCTACAAAGTGACTTCCCTTTCTTAAGCAAACCCTTCCTTGTCTTTTTACAGTAATCAGTTTATACAGCATTTGTCCTTCTGCAATTGACTTATTTTACTCACCATCATGTCCTCCAGGTGTATCCATATTGTGAGATGATTCGCGTGTCCTTCATTTTCTTTAATGTATCATAGTATTCCATTGTGTAAATGTACCATAATTTGGATATCCATTCATCCGTTGATGGTTGTTTCCATCTCTTTGCTATAATGAATTATGCTGTGATGAACACAGGTGTGCATATGCCTGTTCATGTCCTGCCTCTCACCTCTTTAGGATATATTCCTAGTAATGGAATTGCTAGGTCAAATGGTATTTATATTTTCAGTTTTTTAAGGAAATTCCATACCATATGCCACAATGGTTGTACCATTTTACAATCCCACCAGCAGCATACAAGAGTTCCAATTTCTCCGCAACCTCACCAGCATTTGTTATTTTCTGTACTGTTGAACTTTGCTATTACTGCTGGGGTGAGATGATATCTCATCATTGTTTTGATTTGCATCTCTCTAATAACTAATGATCATGAGCAACTCCTCATGAGTTTGTTGGCTGCCAGCATACCGTCTTCAGTGAAGTGTCCGTTCAAGTCTTTTGCCCATTTTTGAATTGGGTTATTTGTCTTTTTGGTGTTGAAGTGTTGAAGTTTTCTATAGATTTTGGAGATAAGTCCTTTGTCAGATATGTTATAAACAAATATTTTTTCACAATCTGTAGGTTCAGTTTTTACCCTTTTGATGAAGTCTTTCTATGTGCATAAGAATCTAATTTTTAAAAGGTCCCAGTCATCTAGCTTCTCTTCTACCTCCTGTGCATTCTGGGTTATGTTTGATAGTCTATTTATGCCATAAATTAGGGCTCCTAGATTCGTCCCTATTTTATCTTTGATTAATTTTATAGTTTGGAGTTTTACATTTAAGTCTTTGATCCAGCTTGAGTTTGTTTTTGTGTATAGGATGAGGTATGGGTCTTGTTTGATTTTTATGCAAGTGGATATCCAGTTTTGCCATCACCATTTGTTAAAGAGGCTGTTTCTTCCCCCATTTAATGGGTTGTGGAACTTTGTCAAAGATCAGGTGTACATAGATGAATGGGTCTATTTATCGACTTTTGATTCTGTTCCATTGGTCTGTCTATCGTTATATCAATACCATGCCGTTTTGACTACTGTGGCTGTGGAGTAGGTTTTAAGATCCCAGAGTGTGAGACCTCCCACTTTGTTCTTCTTCTTGAGAAGTGTTCTGCTTATCTGAGGTCTCTTTCCTTTTCATATGAAGTTAGTAATTGGTTTTTCCATGTCCTTAAAAAATTTTGTTGGTATCTGGATTGGGATTGCATTAAATATGCGGATTGCTTTAGGTAGTATTGATATTTTTGCAGCATTCAGTCTACCTATCTATAAACAAAGCAGGTTCTTCCATTTATGTAGAGCCCTTGTTACTTCTTGTAATAATGTTTTATAGTTTTCTTTGTATAGGTCTTTTGTGTCTCTGGTAAGGTTTATTCCTAGATATTTTATCTTCTTAGTAGCTATTGTAAATGGTATTGTTCTTTATCAGAGGACTCTTTGTTGGTGTAGAGGAATCCAACTGATTTTTTGTATGTTGACCTTGTATCCTGCCACTTTGCTGAATTTCCCTATTGGTTCCACTAGTTTTTTTTGTTGAGTCTCCTGGGTTTTCTATATACAGGATCATATCGTCCACAAATAAAGATAGTTTTAGTTCCTCTTTGCCAATTTGTATGCCTCTTATTTCTCTTTCTTGCCTTATTGCCCTGGCCAGGATTTCCAATACAGTGTTAAATAGAAGTGGTGATAGAGATCATCCCTGTCTGGTTCCCGTTCATAAGTCTTCCTCCATTAATAATGATGTTGCCATTGGCTTTGCATATATGCCTTTTATAAATTTGAGGAATTTCCCTTCTCCCTATTTTGCTGAAAGTTCTGAGCAGGAACAGCTGTTGGATTTTATCAAATGTCTTTTCTTCATTGATTGATACAATCATATGGTTCTTTTCTTTTGTTTTGTTTGTATGGTGGATTTCATTGATAGTTTTTCTGATGTTGAACCACCCTTGCATAGCTGGTATGAATCCCCCTTGGTCAGGATGTATTATTATTATTATTATTGTTATTATTATTTTGATACGTTGCTGGATTCTGTTGGCTAGAATTTTGTTGAAGATTTTTGCATCTGTGTTCATGAGGGATATTGGTCTGTGGTTTTCCTTTTTAATGGTGTCTTTCCCTGGTTTGGGTATTAATGTTATGCTTGCTTCATAAAATGAGTTTGGAAGTATTCCATCTTTTTCTATGTTCTGGAATAGCTTGAGTAGTATAGGTGTCAACTCTTCCCTGAATATTTGGTGAAATTCTCAATGAAGCCATCAGGCCAAGACTTCTTCTCTGTTTTCTGTTCCTTCCATATACCTCTCTGTGTCTTTCTCTTCCTAAATGCCACCATGTTGATCACTCACATTCGGTACATTGCCCTTCTCTTCATCCAAATTAATACTTGTCTCTACCTATCTAACAGTGTTCCCTACCCTAC